GTTCTTTAGGAGAGAAAACAGCTGGTGCTGCTGTGTAGAGCCTGGACCGGAAAGGAAATTAACGAGGCAGGGAGCCTTATTAATACATTCCTTAGACATTTATTGAGCACCTACTATGTGTCAGGCACTGTTCTAGGTACCTGGGATCCTTGCTCTCATGAGGTCAGAAATGAGGAATTCCATAGGACGAGTCTTCTATTCTTAAACCCAGTGTAAGGATAAGGCCACTGGGAAGGAGGGAGTAGGATTTGGGCATCAGAGCCCCCCAGCTGCTGCTCATGGGGGTCAGGACACCAGGCCCCTGACTTTGCTCTGGTCTCTCTCCCAGCTCCCTGCCAAGGCCCACAGCCATGGCCATGGCCCAGAAGCTCAGCCACCTCCTGCCAAGTCTGCGGCAGGTCATCCAGGAGCCTCAGCTATCTCTGCAGCCAGAGCCTGTCTTCACGGTGGACCGAGCTGAGGTGCCACCGCTCTTCTGGAAGCCGTACATCTATGCGGGCTACCGGCCGCTGCATCAGACCTGGCGCTTCTACTTCCGCACACTGTTCCAGCAGCACAACGAGGCCGTGAATGTCTGGACCCATCTGCTGGCGGCCCTGGTGCTGCTGCTGCGACTGGCCCTCTTTGTGGAGACTGTGGACTTCTGGGGAGACCCACATGCCCTGCCCCTCTTCATCATTGTCCTTGCCTCTTTCACCTATCTCTCCTTCAGTGCCTTGGCTCATCTCCTGCAGGCCAAGTCCGAGTTCTGGCATTACAGCTTCTTCTTCCTGGACTACGTGGGGGTGGCCGTGTACCAGTTTGGCAGTGCCTTGGCACACTTCTACTATGCTATCGAGCCCTCCTGGCATGCCCGGGTGCAGGCCGTTTTTCTGCCCATGGCTGCCTTTCTCGCCTGGCTTTCCTGCACTGGCTCCTGCTATAACAAATACATCCAGAAACCAGGCCTGCTGGGCCGCACATGCCAGGAAGTGCCCTCCGCCCTGGCCTATGCACTGGACATCAGTCCTGTGGTGCATCGTATCTTCGTGTCCTCCGACCCTGCCATAGATGACCCAGCTCTTCTCTACCACAAGTGCCAGGTGGTCTTCTTTCTGCTGGCTGCTGCCTTCTTCTCTACCTTCATGCCTGAGCGCTGGTTCCCTGGCAGCTGCCATGTCTTCGGGCAGGGCCACCAACTTTTCCACATCTTCTTGGTGCTGTGCACGCTGGCTCAGCTGGAGGCTGTGGCACTGGACTATGAGGCCCGACGGCCCATCTATGAGCCTCTGCACACGCACTGGCCTCACAACTTTTCCGGTCTCTTCCTGCTCACGGTGGGCAGCAGCGTCCTCACCGCGTTCCTCCTGAGCCAGCTGGTACAGCGCAGACTTGATCAGAAGACCAAGTGAAGGGGGCTGGCATCTAGTAGGGAGGGAGGTATTGTGGGGGGACAGGGGTCTGGGCTTGGCTCCAGGGGGGAACAAGTCCTGGTAAAAATTGTTTGTGTCTGGCCCACAGTGACTCTTTGTGCACCACTCAACTCAAGGGCGTCACTGGCCAATTCTTGGATTTACGGATTGGCTGGGAGTTGCTGGGGTCCACTTCTGGGCCTGCCCCAGCTCCTTGTCCAGGGAGAGGGAAAGAGTTAAAGATGTGGGCCACTCCAGCTTGCCCCTCCACTGCCACTCACTGGGGTGAGGCTGGGGATCAGCTTGGTGAGGATTGGGGCTTCTAGATTGTCTAGGCAGGAGGTGAAACTTAGGCCAGAGTCAGATTTGAGCTGAGCCAGGATAGGCCTTGGCAACCCACTTCTACTCAGATTTCATTGCTCGATGCGGAAGGGGCAGGCCCAAAATATATGCAGGATCTTACTGTCCCTTGAAGCCCAGCCACAAGTGTTGGCGCTGCAGAGAGACCCCAAAGGTAGTAGATTGTGCCAGACAGAAATGGGTCCCATCCAGTGCTTCATACCCCTTCAGTCACCATCCCAGACAGTGAGTCCCAGATCTTCTAGTTCTGGCTTCTGTGTCCCACACAGCCTGTTCCCAGCTTCTTTCCTGGTTCCCTTGTTAAGGATTCATTTATCTATTCAGTGTTGAATGGATAAATGGCCTGGGCCTCTGCTCAGAGGCAGGTCACCGCTGGGCCCTGAGGATCAATGCAAGATGATAAAGACTTTTTTTTTTTTGAGAAGGAGTTTTGCTGTTGTTGGCTAGGCTGGAGTGCAATGGTGCAATATTGGCTCACTGCAACCTCTGCCTCCTGGGTTCAAGTGATTTTCCTGCCTCAGCCTCCCGAGTAGCTGGAATTACAGGCATGTACCACCATGCCTGGCTAATTTTCTGTATTTTTAGTAGAGATGGGGTTTCTCCATGTTGGTCAGGCTGGTCTCGAACTCCTGACATCAGGTGATCCGCCCGCCTTGGCCTCCCAAAGTGCTGGGATTACAGGCATGAGCCACCGTGCCTGGCCGACAAAGGCTTTGATACCAGAATGAACTGTCAAGGGAAGTGCTGAGGAGGGATTAACCTGTGCTGCCTGGGACCCTCGGGGTCTTGGGTTGGGGAGTGTGAATAGGAGTTTGCAGATGGAGAATAGGAAGGGCATTCCAGGCAGAGGGAAACTTGTGCAGAGACCCAGAGGTGCGGAAGGAAAAGTGGGGCTGGGGCTGGGGTGGTCTGGATTATGGCCTGGATGCAATAAAGTGACTGTGACAGTAGCCGCCTCTTTGTTTTTTGTCTCCTGTTCAGGGAGGGGCCCCTGCTCGCATTACTGGAGGAGGTTTTTGGAGGAAGTTGGGGCCCCTGGGAGTGGACATAGGGTGGAGGGAGCAGTTCTTGTTTTATCTTTGCTGGGGGATGGGGTTGGAGCCTTATATACCATATCTATATATACAAAATTTGTTTGGTAAGGGAGTAGGGGGCAGTTTTATTACTAAAGTTTTAGAAGTAGTTAAAATGTGTTTAAAATATATATAATCCCACTTTATAATCTGACAAAGACTTTTGTTTGTTCTTCAATTAAGGAAGGTTTTTTTGTTTTTACTGAAGGGGGCAGAGGCGTGCACACTCCACCATGCATATTGAGCCCCCTCGCATGCGCACCAAAGGAGTATGTTATGTTAACTTTTATAATATTGCTTTTTCCATAGTACACAGCAATATATATACAATGAAGGAAAATTGGGAAGATAAGAAAACCCAAATTAATTAGAAATTTCACTTCACTGCTAAAATATCGTGGGGGACCTTACGAAATACACACACACGTAAAATATGTGTATATCAATATTTTGATATAGGCCAGGTGCAGTGGCTCACGCCTGTAATCCCAGCACTTTGGGAGGCTGAGGCAGGCAGATCAGCTGAGGGCAGGAGTTTGAGACCAGTCTGGCCAATATGGCGAAAATCCATCTCTACTAAAAACACAAAAATTAGCCAGGCGTGGTGGCGCACACCTATAGTCCCAGCTACTTGGAAGGCTGAGGTGGGAGGATCACGTGACCCCAGGAGGTTGAGGTTGCAGTGAGCCGAGACTGTGCCTGGGGGACAAAGCGAGATGGCTCTGTCCACAGTGAAGACAGGCTCTGGCTGCAGAGATGGGTGAGGCTCCTGGCTGACCTGCTACAGACTGGGCAAGAGGTGGCTGAGCTTCTGATCCTCCCCCCGGCCAAAAAAAAATTTAAAAATTTTTGACCGGGCACGGTGGCTCACGCCTGTAATCCCAGCACTTTGGGAGGCCAAGGCGGGCGGATCACGAGGTCAGGAGTTCGAGACCAGCCCGGCCAATATGGTGGAACCCCATCTCTACTAAAAATACAAAAATTAGCTGGGTGTGGTGGCGTGTGCCTGTACTTCCAGTTACTCGGGAGGCTGAGGCGGAAGAATCGCTTGAACCCAGGAGGCGGGGCTGCAGTGAGCTGAGATCGTGCCACTGCACTCCAGCCTGGGCGACAGAGAGACTGTGTCTCAAAAAAAATTTTTTTTATATATATATACAATATGTAAAAATTACATATAATATACATATATTCCATCTATGTAGATTGTGGTTAGGGACAGAAGGATGGGTGGGGTGCCAGAATTTTTGCATTTCCAAGGGGTTTTCTGAATTCACAAAGTGCTTTCACAAACTTCATTTGATCCTCTTTTAAAATCCAAGGCACAGTAAACAGTGAAAGCAGGACTGAAAGCTAGTTTTGGACCCCAAATTTTAACCTTTTCAAAATCCTCTTCCATGTGGCTTCGTAGTTACGCTTACATTAAAAAAAAAAAAATTACCAAAGTTGTTCGCACACTCGAGTGTCTAGTAACCACTTAGGGCGAGGACCCCTGGTCTGGAGTCTACGGGCCTGATCTCGTATCAGCCGCTTCCTTCTTGGGGTGATCGCGAAGATTCAGCGATGACACGAACAAATTCCTAAGCCCGGGGTAGTTATTGTATTTACTGTAAGAAGTTTTCAATGCAGCAGAAAGAAAATGTACGTTTCTGAGGCTGTGGAGAACCGTTCACACAGCAGTTTCCGAAATCCGCTCTTGAATGAACAGATCAGAAAGAAAACGCACTCCTCGGCGCAGGGAAAGGCGCCGCAAGCACTCAAGGACCGGCGGCGAAGGTTAGTGAGTGGGCGGGGCACAGCAAAGGGAGCGGGCCTTGCCGGGGGCGGTGGCCTTGCCGGGGGCGGTGGCCTTGCCGGGGGCGGGGACCTTGCCGGGGGCGGGGGCCTTGCCGGGGGCGGGGGCCTTGCCGGGGGCGGGGGCCTTGCCGGGGCGGAGCTGACGCCCGGGGCAGTCGCGACGTAGCCCCGCCCCCAGCGTTGGCGCGAGATCCGAACGTCGGCGGCAGTGGCGTTTGCTGAGGTGTCTGGAGCGTGAGTCGGCGTCCTGCCGGCTTGGTCACCTCAGCGACCATGAGGCGGACAGGCCCCGAGGAGGAGGCCTGCGGCGTGTGGCTGGACGCGGCGGCGCTGAAGAGGCGGAAAGTGCAGGTGGGACGCTGGGGGATGAGAGGGGGTTGGGGACAAGGTAGGGCCTGGAGGCGTAAGGCGGGAGGAGTAAGACGGGAGGAGTTTGGGGGACACCCGGAGGTGCTGGAAGCGAAGTCGGGGACAGAGGGAACAGCATTGGGGATTCACAGGCAAGAGGGATTGGGGTCTGAAGAAGGTTGAAAAATGGGGCTTGGAGAGGGTGGGAGGGACGGAAGAAAGGAGCGTGCTGTTGAGGGGTGTGGAGGAGCGGTGCGCAGGGACGGGCGGCGAGGGTTCAGGTGTGGGAGAGGCGGAGGGAAAGTTCGCCCGGAGTAGTTTAACTGAGCAGGCTCCCAAGGAGGCCGGAGTCCCCGCGAGACGTCCTAGTAGATGCTGGAGCATTGGGAGATGCATGCGAATGCAAATTTGGGAAATTCTCACCCCAGGGTCTGTTTCCACCCAATTTGCCAAGTTTTAGGCCTTCTACCTGCCAAGAACCGGTAACTCTGAGGGGAAGAGTAGAAGCTATGGGAAGGGGAGCTGGCCTTCTATCTACTGAGCAGTCACTGGGTGCCGGATACTGCGTTCGATGCTGAATATGCGTTATATGTGTCGTCATTCTTCCTGGAAATGAGGAAACAGGTTCAGGAACTAACCTAGGCCCGCCTAACTAGAAGGAGCTGGAAATCACACTCAGGTCTGTCACCTAGGCAAGATGCTCTTCAGTTTCTATAAAGAAACAAAAGTGTGAGATAATAATCGTTCATGTTTATTGAGCATCTTATGCTGGTGCTAAGTATTTTAGGTATGTTATCTTGTTTGGTACAGTTATATATGGTAGATAGTGTAATGATACCCATTTTACATACGGAAACAGGCTCAAAACAAACACTAGGGGCAAGATTCTTGCTCTCAAGTTGCTCACAGTCTTACAGGGAAAAAAAGAGGTGTATAAATAATAACAACAATACCTGACCTTTATTGAGTGCTTTCTATGTATCAGGCACTTTGCCGGGACTCATCAATGGCAGGTACTCACCAAAATTCAATAAAGTAGATTTTGTCATTATCCTGGTTTTATAGATGAAAAATTTGATCGTTTTATTATTATTTATTATTATTATTATTTTTTTTAGACGGAGTCTCGCTCTGTTGCCCAGGCGGATCGCAATGGCGCGATCTCGGCTGCCTGCAAGCTCCGCCTCCCGGGTTCACGCCATTCTGCTGCCTCAGCCTCCAGAGTAGCTGGGACTGCAGGCGCCCGCCCCCATGCCCGGCTAATTTTTTGTATTTTTAGTAGAGATGGGGTTTCACCGTGTTAGCCAGGATGCTCTCGCTCTCTTGACCTCAAATGATTCGCCCATCTCGGCCTCCCAAAGTGCTGAGATTACAGGTGTGAGCCATCGTGCCTGGCCGTTCGTTTTATTTTTTAAAAAATTATCAAAATGGCTGGGTGCGGTAGTTCACACCTGTAATCCCAGTGCTTTGGGAGGCCGAGGCGGGCTGGAGACCGACCTGGCCAACATGGCGAAACCCCATCTCTAGTAAAAAAAAAAAATACAAAAATTTGCCGGGCGTGGTGGCAGGCGCCTGTAATCCCAGCTACTCGGGAGACTGAGACAGGAGAATTGCTGGAACCCGAGAGGTGGAGGTTGCAGTGAGCCGAGATCGTGCCAAGGCACTCCAACCTGGGTGACGGAGCAAGACTCCGTCTCAAAAAAAAAAAAAAGATCAAAATGTACAGTAGCTATTTATTACTCCTTGAATTAGGAATATGCCGTTTGTACCCTTAGAATACATTCTTGAATGATATGGGATGGGTGAGAAACTTGTATACTACTTTGATTTGTTGATTTTGGAGACAGGATCTCTGTCACTCAGGCTGGAATGTGGTGGTATAATCACGACTAACTACAGCCTCAGTCCTGTCCCCGGGCTCCAGGTGATCCTCCTGCCTCAGCCACCCAAATAGCTAGGACTACAGGCATAGTACCACAAAGCCCAGCTCATTTTTTGTGTTTTTTGTTTGTAGAGATGGGGTTTCGCTGTGTTGCCTAGACTGGTCTTGAACTCCTGAGCTCAAGTGATCTGCCCATTGTGGCTTCTCAAAGTGCTGGGATTACAGGTGTGAGCCACTGCACCCAGCCACCAGTTTAATTTAGAAAGAAGACAAAAATAGAATTAGGAAGAGTTCAGGAGAGAGAGAAAGGGAATATTCCACAGGGAATAGGACAGCCAATATTTGTCTCTCTGTCTATAATTCTGTTTTGTTTTTTGAAAAGGAGTCTCGCTCTTGTTGCCCAGGCTGGAGTGCAATGGTGCGATCTTGGCTCACTGCAACCTCCACCTCCCAGGTTTAAGCAATTCCCGTGCCTCAACCTTCCGAGTAGCTGGGATTACAGGCATGCACCACCTGGCCCTGGTAATTTTGTATTTTTAGTAGAGATGGGGTTTCTCCATGTTGGTCAGGTTAGTCTTGAACTCCCAACCTCAGGTGATCCACCTGCCTTAGTGTCCTGGGATTACAGGTGTGAGCCACCATGCCCGGCCTAATTCTGTTTTTTTGTTTGGAGTCTTGCTGTGTTACCCACGCTGGAGTGTAGTGGCGTGATCTCGGGTCACTGCAGCCTCTGCCTCAGCCTCCCGAGTAGCTGGGATAACAGGCATGTGCCACCACACCTGGCTAATTTTTGTATTTTAAGTAGAGACAGGGTTTCACCATGTTGACCAGCTGTTCTCGAACTCCTGGCCTCAAGTTATCCGCCTGCCTCAGCCACCCAAAGTGCTGGGATTACAGGCATGAGCCACCGTGCTTGGTCTGTTTATAATTCTTATACCCCCAAATCCTACCTTTTTCCCTGGCAGTGTTATGGTGAAAACATTTGTCTTGTTGATGTAGTGCATGGCAGGTATGGAATCCTCCAACATCTCTAGGCCCTTACCTTACTCTGATTTCTGGAGGCCTGGACCTTATGACCATACTCACTAACACCATTTCTCCTTCTTGTTACTTGATTCCCAAAGATACTCATTAAAATCTTTGGTTCCTGACTATTATCTATTACTCTGACTTCCAACCCAGAGAAGAGTACTAAAGATTCCCTTTCACAAGGTGCCTCTTCCTAGAGTGGCTATCAAATAGGCATACAGTCCTTTGAGATTTAATGTCAGGGATGGATGGGCAGTAGCTAGTGGCGGTGTTTTTGAAAACATGCCTCTTCCCACTTGATCTCTACACAGAATTGTTTGCTATTTATGAGAGAATAAGTAGTTTGTAGTCTGGCCAGTAGACAATAGTGGTCTATGTTTGGAGTGAGTTTGCTTCTCTCCTAATTTGAACTACCCATTTGGCCTCGTTACTTAGGCCTTGTATGTATACTAGTCATTTTGTTTTTATATTATGAAAGTAATATATGTTTGTTTAAAAAATAATAAATAGGGCTGTGGCTCGTTCCTGTAATCTCAGTACTTTGGGAAGCTGAGGCTGGAGGATCACTTGAGGCCAGGAATTTGGGACCAGCCTGGGCAACATAATGAAACCCCAACTCCACAAAAAATAAAAAAAGTTTATCATGGGTGTAGGAGTGTGGCAGTTTTAATATATGTCCACAAATTCTTCAGTACTTTTCCTTCTAAAAGATAGAACTTAATTCCCCTTTCCTTGAGCACAGACAGTATTTAGTGACTCCGATGACTAGAATGTGGTAGGTTATAGTGTTAGAATTCTGAGTCTAAGCCTGGCCAACATGGTGAAACCCCATCTCTGCTAAAAATAAAAAAATTAGCCAGGCTTGGTGACGGGTGCCTATAATCCCAGCTACTCAGGAGGCTGAGGCAGGAGAATTGCTTGAAGCCGGAAGATGGAGGTTTCAGTGAGCCAAGGTTGCACCACTGCACTCCAGACAGGGTGATAGAGCAAGACCCCATCTAAAAAAAAAATTCTGAATCTAGGTCATAAATGACATTGCAGCTTTAGCTTCATTGTCTCTTTGGGAGAAGCCAGCTGTCATGTTGTGAGGACACTCAAGCAGCTCTGTGGAGAGGTTCATGCAGTGAGGAGCTGAGGCCTTTTGTCAACAGTTGTGTGAGTGAGGGAGTCATCTTGAAATTGGATACTGCACCTCTGGTTGATATTTTGAATGCAACCTCACTAGACTGTGAGACAGACCCATCCATCTAGGCTTAACTCAAATTCTTCATGCACAGAAGTTGTGAGATAATAAATGCCTGGCTGGATTTCAGAATTGCCATTGACTGGTGACCCACTTGTACCTCTTATTTCCCCCTTTTTGAACAGAATGTCTGTAACAGTTATGCTTGTTCCAAATTTTATGTTAGATGTATGAGGGAAGATAATTTGTCTTTAGTTCACAGGCCTGCAGATCTAAAGGAACTGTACTTAAACTACACTTTTGGACTTCACATTTACCTGTTTTAGATGCTAGTATCTTTGATATTAAGCTAATGCTGTAAAGAGATGAGATTTTTGTAGAGTTTTGGGAGGGAGTATATTTTGCATATGGGAAGAATGTAAGTAATTTGGGGCCAGAAGGTGGACTGTGATGGTTTTAAAATATGTCCACACTCTTCCCTTCAAGAGGTGGAGCTTCATTCTCCTGCCTTTATGTTTGGATTGGACTTGGTAACTTGCTATATATTGATTTATTTATTATTATTTTTTGAGATGGAGTCTCACTGTATTGCCCAGACTGGAGTGCAGTGGCGTGATCTCGGCTCACTGCAACCTCTACCTCCCAGGTTCAAGCAGTTCTCCTGCCTCACCTTACGAGTAACTGGGATTATAGGCGTGCATCACTACGCCTGGCTAATTTTTGTATTTTTAGTAGAGGCGGGGTTTCACCATGTTGGTGAGGCTGGTCTCAAACTCCTGACCTCAGGTGATCCACCGGCCTTGGCCTCCCAGAGGGATTACAGGCGTGAGCCACTGCGCCCGGCTGTAACTTGCCTCTAATGAACAGAATATTGCGGGAACTGATGGTGTGTGATTTTTTCAGATTGGGTCATAAATGGCATTATGACCTCTTTTGATTGCTCACTCTGGGAAAAGCTAGCTTCCATGTTGCTGCATGAAGCCTGCTCACAGCCATGTTAGTGAGCCATCTTGGAAGTGGATCCTTCAGCCCCAGTTAAGGCTTCAGATGATTGTAGCCTGAGCCAACATCATGAATGCAACGTCATGAGAGACCCTGAGCCATAACCACCAAGCTAACCACCGTGAGAAACTGTGTGAGATTAATGTTTATTTTTTTGTTTTGTTTTTGTTTTTGTTTGTTTGTTTGTTTGTTTTGAGATGGAGTCTCGCTCTGTCACCCAGGCTGGAGTGCAGTGGCCGGATCTCAGCTCACTGCAAGCTCCGCCTCCCGGGTTCACGCCATTCTGCTGCCTCAGCCTCCCGAGTAGCTGGGACTACAGGCGTCCGCCACCTCGCCTGGCTAGTTTTTGTATTTTTTAGTAGAGACGGGGTTTTACCATGTTAGCCAGGATGGTCTCAATCTCCTGACCTCATGATCCGCCCGTCTCGGCCTCCCAAAGTGCTGGGATTACAGGCTTGAGCCACCGCGCCCGGCCTTTGTTTGTTTTTTGAGACAGAGTCTTGCTCTGTCACCCAGGCTGGGGTGCAATGGCACGATCTCAGCTCACTGCAACCTTCGACTCATGGGTTCAAACGATTCTCCT